GACTGGATTTGAATTTAAGTCTTTCTGACTCCAGTCCCAGTGTTCTACCTACCACACCACCCAGATGCATCACAGCACATCACAATTTAGCTAATTTAGATTAAGTTTAGGATTTTAAAAATTGTTTGGCTTACCCATCAACAGATCTAGGTCCACTCTTCCTACCTGTGTGACACTGGACAATCACTTTCTTCTTCTGGGGAGAGGAGGACATTCAACCCCTCTGTGTGCTCCTTCATCCCCAGTGTATTCATGCCATTTAAGCCAAGTTATAGTGAACACATGGTCTAAAGGGAGAAGATGTTTTTAGGGGCAGCAGCATGTTGTACTAAACAGAATACTAGATATTTTAATCTAGTCAGACTAAAATCTCAACTGTTTCTTACTACCTGTATGACTTTGGGAAATTCACTTAACTTTTCCTCATCTATAAAATGAAATAATTGGAGTATATTATCTGTAAGGCTCCTTCCAGCTCTTGATTCTATGTATCCTTAAGGAAAACTGACACCCTCCCCTCCAATTTAGCAAAGTGATACCCCCTTATACTTATACACACGTATCTCTGCAGGTCTCCTTTGGCAATAGCTCTGCCCATTTGGTGGTTGACCCAGCCCTTTCCAAGGACTCCAGAGAAGCTCATCTCCTAATTCCCAGTTAGTCCAGAGGGGAATATTTGGTATGCTTTCTGGACAAAAACTGACTCTCAGCCTGTGACAGATATGAGAGTGGTCTGGAAGGCAATGAGGCCCCGTAGTAGGACAGCCCTGATTTTACCTCTCCTGGAAGATCTTATGAATGTTATAGATACCTTTCATCTTTTTTTTTTAAGTGAGTAGATAACATTTTGTTTTGACATGACAGAGACTTCCAACAAATGTCTTTAGAAAGGATATTTGCCAAAAGAAATGGACTATCAATTGTTATCAGAAAGGAGAACACTTTGGTAGTATGATACTAACATTGATTGTTGCAATTGACCATAGAGTTGGGTTTTTTCCTCCTCTTCATGCTGTCTTTCACTTCCATCATTGTGGTCATGGTATATTCTGTTCTTGTGGTTCTCCTTTGATCACTCTGTATCACTTTAGACTTCTCAGTCTTCTCATGCTTCTCTGATTTTTTCCTATTTGTCATTCCTTCAGCATGGCAATATTCCACTACATTCCCATGACATAATGTTTTCCACTATTATAATATGTTGGGCACACTGTTTCTAGCTTTTTGCTGTTGCAAATAATGCTATGAACATTTTTACACACTTGAGTCTTTTCTTATTGTCAGTAACCTAATTGGGATAGAGCCCCAGTAATGGTGTCTCTGAATCGAGTTGTGACCAATTTAGTAGTTTTTCTTGCATAATTTCATAGAGATTGTGTAGTCCAATCCTCTCCTTTTATAGATTAGGAAACTGAGGCACAGAGTTGGGGGGGGAAAAACCTTGATCAAGGTCACAAAAGGTAGTAAATAACAGATTTGGGATTTGAAACTAAGTCCTATGGCTTCAATTCCAATGTTCTTTTCACTGCACATTGATTCTCATTTAGACAGGTTGCCCATATCTGTAGGAAAGAATTGTCTGCCTTTCAGAGATAGGTGTTGTAATAACCCTGCATGAAAGAGTGACCTTAATTGGCAGCTAATGAATTCGAGCTGTCTCACTATGTCACCAGAACATGGAAGCTTCATTGTCATCAGCTCCCCAGATCTGGTACTGATTCATAATTTAATAATACAAATAACCAGCACTCGAGTCAGCAACAAATACTGCTGGGAAGTGATTGGGGATTACAACAATTGGTAACGGTAGGGATGAAAATCATTATTGACAAGAAATCAAGGAGAAAATCAATGTCATCATATGGAAGTAATTGGGAACAAAAAGGTAAAGCATCAAACCCTGCAAAAACCTTTAAGAATATGCTTATAATGACTGCTTTAATGATTCAGAAAAAGGGAGAAAATCACAAAGAAAAATGAGAACTTAATTCATAAAATGTTAACCATTTATCTTTAAAAAAGAAAAAAAAAATCTTTCCTAGTTCCATCCTATTGGTAACATCAACAGTACAAAGCAATGGGTTTTGTTTGTTTGTTTTTGTTGTTGTTTTAAAATCAGTGTGAGCCCTGGATCTTCTTTTGCTGTTGGGGTTGAGGGAGGCAAATTTTTTTTCTCTTCAAGAGAAACACTTCAACTTGAGGCAGCCTGACTGTTAATAAATTGAATGTGAAATACAGCATCCCTCATTGTTTGAGAAATTGGACAGTAGAGCTGTTCTGGGGCTGGAGTGAGTGGTTATATCCCTGTGGTCGCCCTCCCAGAAAGTCCTTGACCCAAAGCATGCCTAGCATCTTCACACCTAGAGCTGAGGTCAGGTACATTGGATTCTGGTGGGCTGGTGTGACTGTTTCAAAGATGACATTATATGAATTTATATTTTTTAAACTTGACCATTTTGTGAGAACATCCACATCTGTTGCTTCAGCCAAGCAAATGAACTTATATCCATCCCACTAAGGTAAGAGAGACTGGCAGTTTTGGATGAGACACTAGCAAGAGACATCACAAAGGAGTCTTGGAATCCATGCTAATCAGGAAACAATCAACAGACATGCCCAATGCCTACTCTATATTTAAAAGGTCTTCTGTTAAGCCACAGGGAAGAAGCAGAGCTGATGTGTGAGACCAGGCTCCCCATCTCCTAGAGTTCACAGGGTGTAAACAGGCGACACAAATACTGACAAGTCAACAAGAGATAAGGGAATAGGGTAGCTAGTCTGTGGCTGAGGAGCTCCAAAGAGGGTGGGATTGCTGTGGGCTGGGAGATTCTCTAGGGAGGTAGTAGGACCTAAGCTGGGCCTCACTGAAGAATGGATGGAAGTCAAAAAGGTGGGGAGAAGCGGGCAGCTGATATAGTGAGAAGGATGCTGCACTTGTTGGAAGGGCAACTGAGTTTGAATCCTTGCTCTGCCCCTTGACCACCTCTCTGACTTAGGCAAGCCATTGCCTCATTCTGGGCCTCTCATTCCTAATCTGTAAAATGAGAGGGTTGTATGAGGTGGTCTCTAAGGTCCCTTCCTTTTTCTGGGCCTCAGTTTCTTTATCTGTAAACTGAGATGGTTGGACTAGACGACTTCTGAGGTCCTTTTCAGCTCTAGGTTTATAGTCCTATGCTCAGTGAAGGGAGAGAGATCAATGGAGGCACCAAAAAAAGACACTTGAAAGGTTTGGAGGGAAAGGGAAAAGAAAGGAACAAGCTTTTGTTAAGCACCTACTATGTGCCAGTAACATGATAAGTTCTTTACAAATCTCATTTGATCCTTACAACAACCCTGTGAGGTAGGTACTATTATTATTTCTATTTTGCAACTGAGGAAACTGAGGGAGACAGAGATTGTGTGACTTGCCCATGGTCACACAGCTAGTGTCTGAGGGTGGATTTGAACTCTTATCTTCCTGACTCCAGGCCTAGAGCTCTATCCACTGTAGCACTTAATTGCCTAAATGTGGGGGTGGGGGTGGGGGGTGGTAATAGTATTGGGGTGGTGTGTTTGTAGGTTAATTACCAGCTCAGGGTATTCATATCCCAAAATGCCTTTAGGTGAGACATTAGCATTGAGGTTTCTACTGTTTGAGGTATCCTGATAGAATCCAAAGAAATGGCTGGCTTTGACCACTGAGGAAAGTACAGGTATTTATTCAGTGGAATGAACAGTTTTTCTTGAATGAGAGGACCCAAGTTCAAATCCCACATCTGATGCTTACTATCTGTGAGATCTTGGACCAGTCACTCAGCATCCCTGGGGCTCAGTACCCTCGTTTATGAAATAAGAATGGGGTTAACATTGAATGGAAACGGGGGGCACTAGATCACATAAGCTCTGCAGGCTGCATGTTGACTCAGTTTTAAAATATAATACTATCTGTTTTATTGTATTTTTATTTATTTTATTAAATATTTCCTAGTTCCATCTTAATCTGGTTTGGGAAGCACTTGGGAGTGCTGTGGGCTGCATGCTTGACACCTCTACTTTGTGGTACCTTCCAACTCTAATATTAAGATACTCTACTCAATGATGTGAAGTAGGGATTTGAAATACACAGATATGTTCTAATACGTGCAAGTACATCAGAAAGATACTGTCAGTGCTAGGTGAAGTCCAAGAGGGGGGTGATCTTTAGTAGGAGGTGTCAGGGAAGGTTTCATGGGGGAGGCACCAACCAGTGCAGTTGGGCACCCTCTCTGCAGCTTATAGAGTTCCCTGGATCTCGAGGTTAAGTGACATGCCCAGGGTCACATAGTCAGTATATGTGAGAGGCAGGATTTGAATTCAAATCTTCCTAGCTCCCAGCCTGTTCTTTATCTTTACACAGGCTTCCTCTTAAGCTTTAAGGGTTTTTTTTTTTTTTTTTTGGAGGGGAGGAGATTCAGTAGATGAAGAGGAGGAGGAGAGAGCAGAGAGCAATCCTATTTGGCTGGAGCAGAGCTAGGTGAAGGAGAGTAGTAGGAAATACTGTTGCAAAGGTAACATTTAAAGGACTTTTTCAATATTGCCATCGCACTTCCAGAACTAGGAGGTGGCATGTGAAGCTAGCAGGCTTTCTCTAGGAATAAGCCTGCTTTGCCTACGGTTTTCTCAGTGGATTGGCCTCTTGGTAGGGACTAATGTTAATCACGCCCTCTCCTCCTAAAGGAATTTGCATGTTAACTTTACAAGTGCCTGTGTCTCCATGGAATTAAAGGCAGAAAGAGTTGGGATCCCTGTTCTTTCCTCCCTCTGGCCTCCCCTTCCTTCTCCCACTCTTCAAGTTACTAACCAGACTGAAGATCTAGGAACAAAAGTGATTAAGTACTTTCTGGGACACCTTTAACCTTCCAAAGCTCTTTTCATAATTAACTTTGGCAGCTGAATGTGTGTCTCATTAACATTTCAATATTCTGTAATCACTGCAAGGCCAGTGGTTAAGGTAGACATGTTTTTGCTTTGTCTCTCCATAGGATCCGGCTGGTGAAGTTTACCGAGAAACAATCAGCGAGGAACATTTTCGTCTAGAAGGTACTTGAACAAGAATGCTTCCTTAATCAGAGGCTGGGAGGGGACAATAATGCTTCCTTAATCAAAGACCAGGAAGGGGGAGCTCTGGTGGGTCAGCCCTCTAGGATTCCCAGAAAATCTTAACAAGTAGTGATTTAGAACCATGTTTGCTGACTGGCTTTTCAGTCCATTTCACACCTGGGAACTTGTCTGTTCACACAGAGATGGCAATGGGATGGGGGTGGGGGGATGCCAGGGAGGGTTGGGCCAGGGGGCTGAGGAAGAAAAGGAAGTGGCAGGATTCTGTCTAAGGAAGGGATTGGGGAAATCAAGATTCAGTAGACCTGGATTCTGCTGAATCCTGTCATAGAACATTGGATGTGGAGTGAGGAAGATCTAAATTTGAATCCTGTCCCAGAGAACTACTATACTAGTTGTGTGGCCTTGAGCAAGTCACTAACCTCTGTCTGCCTAGTTTTTTCATCTGTCAAATGGGGATAATAATAGTACCTACCTCCCAGGGTTATTGTGAGAATCAAATGAGATAATGTATGTAAAGTGCTTTGCAAATCTCAAAACTCTCTATATAAATCTGCTATTATAGTTATTGTTGTTAATAAAGTTTTGGTTCCCTTTGTTACTAGCTCTGTCTGTTACTTTTGTCAAGTAACTTCACTGCTTTAACTGTCAGCTTCTTCATATATTACTAGAGACTTTACACCCATTGGTCTTGTCATCTGTTCATCCACAACAGCCCACTTGCAGCCACATACATCCCCATGGTTCCTCCTTTTTTCCATTGGATCATAAATTTAGAGTTACAAAGGGAATTAGAAGTCCTTAAATCCAACCCATTCACTTTCTCAGATGAGGAAGCCAAATCATAGAGAGCTTAAATGACTTGCCCATGCCCACACAACTAGTAAGTGTCTGAATCAGGATTTGAACCTAGGACTTTGTGATTCCAAGTTCAGGGTTCTATAAGGTTCTCAACCTTTTGTTCTTTGATATAAAAATTAGGGGAAATGGCTTGAGGAAACCTAGGATGAATCAATCCTTATAATCCTTTGGTTGGGAAACAAGGATCTCAAGAATCCTGAACCTACTAGGGAAAAAAACAAAACTTTTTGACCTCTGATGTCCAACTCTACTTCCAAGGCCATGGAGAGAATGGTGATTTTAGAGAGAAAGGGGAAAGAAAATGAAGTCCATCCAGAAGTTCTAGCTCAGATGTGGCTCTGATAAATCTTTTGGAGACTAAAGCTGGTTTTGATCCCTGGAGGGTTCATAGGATTTAGAGCTGGAAGGGACCTTAGCAATCATGTAATCAATCAGTCTACCCTCTTCCCCTTCCTACTTACTTTCCCATTTTATAGATGAAGAAACTTTAGGCCCAGGAAAGTTAAGTAAATTGACCAAGGTCATATTAAGTAGCAGAGCAGGATTCAGACACCAGTTCTCTGAATCCTCTATTATCCCATATTATCTTTTATCTTGACAGGTCTTAAGGGTCATTTGTCAACTGTAGCAGCTCTGAACTCTAGAGTCTAGATCTCAAGACTGAGTCTTCCAGGATTAAAGGAGCAAGGCTGGGAGGATGGGAGTGGTGGCGCTTCATTTTCTGGGGTATGAAGAGAGCTTATGTTCTGGAAATAGATGGTGTCTGGAATCTAGAAATTAGAATCTCTTCAATGGCAGTAATGTTCAATTTTAACTGGAAAAATGTAACTTTTGGAAGACAGGAGGGTGGGGACAGGGTATAGAGCTAGAAAGTGGGGATGTAGCTAGAGGACAGAGGGAGGTGAACTGGATAATGATCTATACTTCTTGGTGGGAGAGGAGGAGGCCATACAGCAGCAGGGCCCTGAGCTCCTAGGTATTCTCTCTGCCCAGTAGTTGGTTGACTAGGAGCAGGCCATTCTATTCAGGCATTTGGGGAGTCCTCACACCTATTTGTGAAATAAAGAAACTGAGGCAGAGTGATGAATTGACTTACTCAGGAACATAGTGAGCCTACAGCAAAGATGGAGGATGAGACTTGAAGTTCTGATGGGACTGTTTCCCCCTGTACTTACTCTGCAGAGCCACTGGCATGGTCTAGATGCTTAGTGAGAGCGAATCATGAACTAGTTGGGGCAACTTGAGAACAGAAAACTGCCTAGCAGGGATGAGGGATTGGTTTTGCCTTTTCTCCACTGCCTGTATTTTACGAAGAATTGGAAGCTGCGCCTGGATGAGCAGGAGCTCTGATGGCCACGTTATTTCCTGGGACTCCCCCCTTTTGGTCCACAGCCATTTCCTTTCTGAATGGGGGCAATGTAGCGTGTACCCAGAGAAAGCCTGATGAGCTGAGTCTGACTGCCTGGGCCGAGAAATGCCAATACTGTGAATCACTCCGTTCAACCTGTCAAGCCCCCTCCTGTCAATGTCAATTAGTGTCAGCATTTCCAGATAGGAAGTGGGCTTTTCCAAGAAGAGATCCTGTCTTTGAAGAGTGGGCAGGGACCAAAACCAAATGGAACTACTTTGTAATGCAGTGCTTTAGGTATGATCAGCAAACTTCACCTTTTTCACATTTAAAGTCTTTGCAGACAGAAAACCCGAGGGAAACCAGGCATGGGTGAAGAATCCAAGTTCACCTAGGACACTTTTCATAACTCTTAATGGTAACAATAATCAACAATAACAATAGTTCACTTTTACATGATGCTTTTAAGATTTCTAAAGTGCTTTTCTTTTAATAATCTTGTGAGTTAAGTATTGAAACAGGTCATAAATATCTTGCAGATGAAGAAGTTGAGGCTCACAATGGGGAAATGACTTGCCCAAAGTCACAGAGCCAATAAGTGTTAGTGACAGCACTTAACACAGGTATTTCAGTCTCTGAATCGAGTGCTTTTCCTAATTTATACTTCGTGGATCTTTGATTTTGTTGATGCTGGTAAACCTCCTGTGAAAATAGATTGTAGTCCTTTTACAATTTCCTAGATAGATGAATGATGTTACAGAAGGGGCCAGGATGGGAAAATTTATCACCCTGAGGCCAACCTGGTGAAGAGCTTCTCCAAACTTAACTCTGCTGGCTCTGAGAGTACATCTACAATCTATGACTGGGCTAATACTTTCCAGGATTACCCAGAAGGTCAGTGAGTCAGTCAGCAAGCACTTATTAATCACCTAATATCAATCAATCAACAAACTTTAAGCACCAGGCACTGTGCTAAGCACTAGACATCCAAAAAGAGCCTGAAATGACAGTCCCTCAAGGAGCTCATGGTCTAAAGAAAGTCATGAATATAATGGCTTCATTTCCATTGGACTTAAAACAGAAATAGGTCATTTGATCTCAAATGCATTTTACCCATAGCAAATTGGTTAGGCCAGTGAAAGACCATACTCTAGGTTGTATTCGAGAGGAAGTTAAATTCCATTGATTTTAGGGGACATTCCATTCATCTTCATGACTGCTCAGCTCCTAGTACAGGACATTGCCTATACAGTAACAGTGCTGTTAATGATGAGAATGCTATTCTCTAACAACGTTGTTAGCCCTTCCAAGAAGATGAAACTTTAGTGCCTAAAAGGACCCTGAGTTATATTAGGAGTGCCCAGCAAACAGCAATGGGAAATTACCATTTCGGAAGCTCCTTGGAGACCAACACGCTGCCGTGTTGCTTCTCTAGGAAGCATCATGCAAGCCTTGAGCCCCACAGAAGAACTGGCCAACAAGGGGTAGGGGAAGAAATAATTGATTCTTCATTTTGGGTTTTTCTCATGGCCAAGTTCATTGCCTTTTGGAGGGCTTGAGGGGTGTTTAAAGGGGAAAAAAGGCCATCTGAGGCGTGAAGATAAAAAGAAGGCTCCTAGCCATCCATAAAGAAGTAGGATTTAACTCCTGTGTTGTTATGGAAAGCTGGATCAAATCCCCTCCTCTTAACAGACTTAACTAACCCACTGCAAAAGCTCAAAATCCTAAGATTAAGATTGTATTTGGTAAGAGGGCTAGAGCATTAGTGCTTCCTTTTGAACTATAGAAAGAACAAAGTAAACATCAAAAGCTTTAGAGCCGTGAGAGCCGGATTGTTGACTTAGTGTTCCTGCTTCACTAGAGGTTAGGCTTGGAAAGTGGCCACTCTTATTTACTCAGCATCCTGCTCTGGCCATAGGAGAGGAAAGGAGGAGAGAAGAAAAGAGAACCTTACTTGAGTTTTTCTCATCTCTATCACCTGCCTGAGTTCCCACAAACATCCTGCCTCTCCCATGACTGTTCCTCAGGTAGTCTCCTGGGGTTCACAGAAAACAAAAGGGGGTCAAGAAGAGGTGTGGGACCCCTGCTCAAAGCTGATGGATTCCCTTCAGCTCTTTATCCTCTAGTCAGGGGCTAGCAACCTGTGACAGCCATATACCCTCAACCATGCAATCGAAACAATAACTTGTATTTTTATAGCAATTTGTGTTTTTTAGAGAGATCTTTCATCACAGCAATTCTATGGGCTGGTGACCACAGCTACCCCTCCCCCAGCATGGGCAGGAGACCCAGTGTTCAGTGTGGTCCACTTCTGGCCAAGAGTTCCTTCCCCTTCAGACACCAAAAGGAAAAGGATCAGAAACTTGGTATATTCCTGTTTGTAAACAGTAGAATAGAGGTATACAGCCTGTCTATAAAAATCTGTTCTTTGCAAATCTTAGGATCATAGATTTAGAGTTGGAAGGGACCCTAGAGGTCATTAAACCTAACCCCCTCATTTTACAGATGAAGAAACTGGACCCAAGACAATAGAGAAGTGACTTTATCAGGACTACACAGCTATTAAGCATATGAAGCAAGAGTCCAGCCCTTGTCTTCCTGACTCTCCGGGCCAGCACTCCATCAACTGTACCATGCTTTCTCTCCTCTGTTTCTGGCTGCCTCCTTGTCTCCTCTCTAAAGGGTCTGTGTGCTCTCTCCTCCTGACTCTGGGTCCATCTCTTTCTGGTTTTCTCTGTCTCTTTGTATCTGAGACTTTGGAGGTAAAAATCGA